GGAGCTGGCCCGAGGCGTCGGCCAAGGCCACGGCGTTGACGTCGTCCTCGTGGGCGGGGACCTGCCGGGGAGGGAGACTGGGTTGGACTGGTTTGTACTGGGAGGAGGAAAACGGGGAAAAAACGGGAAAAAACGGTGAAAAAATGGCGGAAAAAGGGTTAAAAATGGCTGAGAAAGGGTTAAACATGGCCAAGAAGGGGTTAAAAATGGAGGGAAATGGGGTTTGGGTTACTGGTTTGGACTGGTTTATACTGGGAGGGAGAAATGGGGGAAACGGGGAAAAATGGGGGAAAAATGGTGAAAAAAACTGCGAAAAAGGTGTTAAAAATGGCCAAGAAAGGGTTAAACATGGAGGGAAATGGGGTTTGGGGTTACTGGGTTGTACTGGTTTGTACTGGGAGGGAGAAATGGGGGAAACGGGGGAAAAATGGGAAAAAACGGTGAAGAAATGGCGGAAAAGGGGTTAAAAATGGCTAAAAAAGGGTTAAAAATGGAGGTAAATGGGTTTTGGGGTTACTGGTTTGTACTGGTTTGGACTGGTTTGGACTGGGAGGGGGAAAATGGGGGAAACGGGGTAAAAACGGGAAAAAACGGTGAAAAAATGGCAAAAAACGGTGGAAGAATGGGGAAATTGTGGGGAAGAAAGGGTTAAAAATTGTAAAGAAAGGGTTAAAATGGTAAAGAAAAGGTTAAACATGGAGCAGAATGGGGTTTGGGGTTACTGGTTTGTACTGGTTTGGACTGGTTTGGACTGGGAGGGGAAAAATGGGGGAAACGGGGAAAAATGGGGAAAAAATGGTGAAAAAACTGCGAAAAAGGTGTTAAAAATGGCCAAGAAAGGGTTAAAAGTGGCAAAGAAAGGGTTAAAATGGTAAAGAAAGGGTTAAACATGGAGGGAAATGGGGTTTGGGTTACTGGTTTGGACTGGTTTGGACTGGGAGGGGAAAAATGGGGGGAAAAGGGGGAAAAATGGGAAAAAACGGTGAAAAAATGGCGAAAAAAGGGTTAAAAATGGGGGAAAAGGTGGGGAGGAAAGGGTTAAAAATGGTAAAGAAAGGGTTAAAAATTTTCACCGATTTTTTTACCAATTTTCACCCATTTTTTTACCAATTTTCACCTTTTTTTCACCAATTTTCACCATTTTTTTTCAGCAACTTCCACCCAATTTTTAAACCAATTTTCACAATTTTTTAACCAATTTTCACTATTTTTTACACCAATTTTCACTGTTTTTTTAACCAATTTTCACCATTTTCTTAACCAATTTTCAACCAATTTTCACTGATTTTTTAACCAATTTTCTCCGTTTTTTTAACCAATTTTCACCGTTTTTTTAACCATTTCTTACCCATTTTTTAACCAATTTTCACCGGTTTTTTAACCAATTTTCACCAGTATTTTAACCAATTTTCACTGGATTTTTAAACAATTTCCACCTTTTTTTTAACCATTTTCCACCGTTTTTTTAACCATTTCTTACCCATTTTTAAACCAATTCCCCCTTTTTTTTTAAACCAATTTTCAACATTTTACAACCAATTTTTACCATTTAATAACCAACTTTTACTAATTTTTTTTAACCAATTTTCACCATTTTTAAAAACCAATTTTCACCGTTTTTTCTCCGTTTTTTCTCCGTTTTTTCCCCGATTTTCACCGTTTTTTCACCATTTCCCTCCCAATTTTCACCGTTTTTTCCCCATTTTTTCACCGTTTTTCCCCGATTTTCACCGTTTTTCCCCGTTTTTCCGCCTCCTTTCCCCGTTTTCCCCGTTTTTCCCCTTTTTGCCCGTTTTCCCCCGTTTTCGCCCCGTTTCCTCACCCTCTCCACGCGCCGCTGCGCCTCCCGGTCGTAGACGTAGACGCAGCCGTCGTTGGCCCCGCCCATCACGTCCCGCCCGTCCGGCCCGACAGCCAATGAGAAGACGGCAAAGCGCCGGTCCTCGGGCCTGGGGGGCGGGGACACGGAGGACACGCCCATTATGTTAATTAGGCTCTTTAAGCCACGCCCACTATGTTAATCATGTGTTAAGCCACGCCCACTTTGTAAGAAAATGTTTAGATGTAGTTTGAGCCACGCCCATTATGTTAATTAGGGTATTTAAGCCACGCCCACATGATTATAAGGGGTTAATAGGGGTTTAAGCCAAGCTCATTATGCTAATTAAGGGGCTAAAGCCACACCCACTATGTTAATGAGGTGGTTACGCCACACCCACTTTATTACAAGGGCTAAATTGGGGTTTAAGCCACGCCCACTATGTTAATTTGGTGAATAAGCCACGCCCACTTTATTACAAGGGCTAGATTGGGGTTTAAGCCACGCCCACTATGTTAATTTGGGGATTAAGCCACGCCCACTTCTCTACATGGGGTTAAAATGGGGATTAGATCACGCCCACTATGCTAATTAGTGTGTTTAAGCCACGCCCACTTGATAAAAAAGGTTAAAATGAGGTTTAAGCCACGCCCACCATGTTAATTAGGGGATTTAAGCCACGCCCACTTGGTTATAAGGGGTTAAATGGGGTTTAAGCCACGCCCACCATGTTAATTAGGGGATTTAAGCCACGCCCACCACGTAAATTAGGGTGGATTAAGCCACGCCCACTTGGTTACAAGGGGTTAAAATGGGATTTAAGGCACGCCCACTATATTAATTAGGGAGATTTAAGGCAGGCCCACTTCTCTATATGGGGTTAATATGGAGTTTAATCCACGCCCACTATGCTAATTAGTGTGTTTAAGCCACGCCCACTTCTCTATATGGGGTTAAAATGGGGTTTAGGCCACGCCCACTATGTTAATTAGTGTGTTTAAGCCACGCCCACTTGATAATAAAGACTTAGATTGGGATTAAGCCATGCCCACTATGTAAATTAGGGTTTTTAACCCATGCCCACTATGTTAATTAGGTGATTAAATCACGCCCACTTCCTTATATGAGGTTAATTAATGGTTTAAGACACGCCCACTATGTTAATTAGTGTGTTTAAGCCACGCCCACTTCCGTATATGGGGTTAAATGGGATTTAAGCCACGCCCACTATGTTAATTAGGGTGTTGAAGCCACGCCCACTTCTTTGTAATGGGTTAAAATGGGATTTAAGCCACGCCCACTATGTTAATTAGGGTGTTTAAGCCACACCCACTTCTGTATATGGGGTGGAACTGGGATTAAGCCACGCCCACTATGTTAATTAGGGTGTTTAAGCCACACTCACTATGTTAATTAGGAGGTTTAAGCCACGCCCACTTGCTTACATGATATTTTATGCGGGTTTAAGCCACGCCCACTATGCTAATTAGGGGTTTTAAGTCACGCCCCAAAGTTAATAAGCACACGCAATATGCAAATTACAGCCCAAGCCACGCCCAATGGAAGGAAAGCCACGCCCCCAATGCAAATGAGACAGAATAAACATCAAGCCACGCCCCTCGAAAAGAAGCCACGCCCACAAAAAGCGAAACCACGCCCCAAATATGCAAATTAGAGGTGGAAACACAAGCCACGCCCACAAATGAGAAGCCACGCCCCCAAACTTGGAAACCACGCCCCCAAACTCGAAGACACGCCCCCAAATAGGGAAACAATGCCCCAAAATATGCAAATATTACCCAAAACCACGCCCAAAATGCAAATTAGACAAGTTAAACCTCAAGCCACGCCCCCAAATAGGGAAGCCACACCCGCAATAGGGAAACCACGCCCCCAAATATGCAAATATCGCCCAAAACCACGCCCCAAATGCAAATTAGACAGGCTAAACCTCAAGCCACGCCCCCAAACTCGAAGCCACGCCCCCAAATTCCAAAGCCACGCCCCCAAACTCGAAGCCACGCCCCCACCTGAAGTCCAGGGCCGTGTGGGCGTCGCCCTCTCCATGCAAATCAAAGGCGTGGACTGGCGGGAAAAGGGGGCGGGGCTTACCCCGGAGGCCACGCCCCCTGCCCCGCCCCCTCCCAGTTCCAACCAGTAAAACCAGTTCCAAAATCCCCGTTTTTCACCCCTTTTTTTTGGCCGTTTTTTGACCATTTTTTCCCGTTTTTTCACCGTTTTTTTCCCCATTTTTTCCCCTCCCAGTTTGTCCCAGTTCCCTCCCAGTTCAAACCAGTACAAACCAGTTCAAACCAGTACAAACCAGTTCAAACCAGTTCAAACCAGTACAAACCAGTTCAAACCAGTAACCCCAACCCCCTTTTCCCCAATTTTCCACCATTTTAACCCTTTTTTTGCCATTTTTTCACCGTTTTTCCCCATTTCCCCCCTCCCAGTCCCTCCCAGTCCCCTCCCAGTACAAACCAGTACAAACCAGTACAAACCAGTAACCCCAAATTCCCATTTTCCCCATTTTTAACCCATTCCTCCCCAATTTCTCCCATTTTT